TTATTTCATTAGAAAACCATGCTGCTGTGTTATTCTGTCCTGTTCATCGTCATATGGCACGTACAGCTAAGCCAAGCCAGTGAGCAGTGCCGTCGCTCCACATATTCAGAGTATGGTCACCATCTTTCCGGTCACGTTGTTTCAACTCAAAAAACTTCCAGTATTAGTGAGTGCGTGATAATCTGTTCGAGCGAGTCTCGCTGCAAGAGTTTGAACTTCCGTATAAAAGATAAGTCATGTGATTTGAATGATGCAAACAAACATACTCACCCAAGCGATTTTGGTCCGAAGGAAGGATCAGTTTATATGAACAAGGTATGACCTTCAAGAATTCTATAAAAAGAAAATGAAAGTGTGACTTCTCCCAGTAGCTCAGCTTTTCTCCAAACTTTGGAGCAAAATTCACTTTCGTTTAGGCCTCTTTGCTTCGTGATGACCACCAACTAGTAAATATATAGTCTCCTAAATAGCCGACAATATCGTAATTTATTTATAAGAAGCATTTGTGTTATCGACCAACCGTAGTGTTTGGATGGTTGCTAGTTAAAATACGACGTGGCCCATAGAGTTTCTAAATTTGTAATAGTGAAATAAAGTAAACAGAAAAGGACATGCATAAAACAAATGAAAAATGAGTAGCTCAAGCATTCTGGCCAGTAACTATCTATAACATATGATCTACAGGTTGATGAATTCAAGTCTTGCTCGGAAATTCTCAATAAGTGGCCTAATGCGGAAAGCGGCTACTACTGGATAGATATTGGGAGTAGAAAGGAAGACGTCTACTGTGATATGGAAAAACATGGTAGATACAAAAGGATAAAATCGAAAGCAATAAGTCAATTTCAAAAATAATAAGAAAGATGGTGAAGTTTTGAGCTCGGTAAAGAAATAGAGAAAGATCTTGTTCGTTTTTTCATGAGCGTGAGACAAAGGAAAAATTTTGAGTTCCCATTAGAAATCCAACCCAGTGAGTAAATTGTTTAGAAAAATATCAAATTCTACCTCTGATGAAAAAGAATAGGTATACGCTATTTTGCTGCTTTTTCTCATCAGCAGTGTTCTTTTGGTTGTAATAAAGGGTAATGCAGTGAGGTTGAACCATCTCTTTCATAACGAACGGCCAGCCTCGGTTCCTTTTCAATCTCCCGTATCCGATATTTAAGGTTTAGTTGTCTCGCATATGTATATGTATTTCAATTGAACTTTTTTCTCTTCTCTTAGTACAAGAAATGTTTTCAGCGAGGCTACCTTCAAACTTCTTAAGCTTAAAGTAGTGAAAGTTATTGTTAATTTTCTTGGAGAATTTATCACCGAGGATGCGTCTTTTCTGTATACTTGCTACAGTTTTCTTAGCTGAGGTTTATACTTACCGAACAAAGACAACGAAAAGGCTAATTTGAAGACATCAATTACATTATAAAGGACATTTGAATACACGAGCAACAACATACTTTTTTTTTGTCATTCGCCAGGCGGTGGATGGACCTTAGTTGCGGGTATCAGCTCAAAAAACAACGATCATCTTCAAAGCGTATCCAATAACTGCATCAACGACTCGCTGTGTGTTCCCTTTACTGACCAGGATCAAGGTAGAAAACTGAGCGACAGTGACATACATGAGTTAGCTAGGACAGAAGGTAAATTTGAGAAAAATGCATTACAATAAGAAAAATGAGAGTAATATTAATAGGTAGAAAATATATTCTTTTTAGCATGTCAGTCAAATGTACATGTAATTTTATGTCTTCCTAGGGACCTTTAGGGTCGATGTGCTAAAAAGTGATCGCACCCTCTCGCATACAGTATTTTATCAGGTAAATGTCTAATACCTATTCATTTACTTTTTTATTGAACCATCTATNATCTGTAGAAATTTGGGGGACAGCCAAGACGTTTGAGAATAAGCCATAGACCAGACTTACTCGCACTGTCAAAGGCTTTTGTAAAGTCAACAAAAGTGACATAGAGTCCTTTTTTTTGTTCACGGCACTTTTCCTGGAGTTGGCGGAGGACAAACACCATGTCCATCGTGCCTCTATTGGCTCTGAAGCCACACCAGATCTCGGCGATATTTTCTTCGGCGATGGTTGGTACGAGCCTGTTAAGCAGGATCCTGGCAAGTATTTTGCCAGCGACGGAGAGTAGTGTGATGCCAAGGTAATTGGAGCACTCAGACTTTACACCCTTGTTCTTGTACAGTATTATGATAGTAGCATCACGAAGATCTTGTGGCAGCTTGCCCTGCTCCTAGCAACAGACGAGGAGAACGTGAAGTTTGTTAAGGAGCGCCGGACCCCCATTCTTCCAGATCTCTGGTGGAATGCCGTCAGCTCCTGCTTCTTTGCGACTCGTGAGTTGATTTATGACTACATTCAGTTTATCAAGGGTGGGTTGTTCATCGAGCTCCTCTTTGAGTGAGAGTTGAGGAACATGATCAATGGCAGAGGCCTGCACAGTGCGGTTAGCACTGAGGAGGGTTTGGAAGTGTTCGGACCGGTGAGCGAGGATGCTGATGTTATCAGCGCCTCGTAAAGACCTCTATAGTCACCCGCGTCAGCACACAGCTTAGTTTTCATACATAGCCAGGTGGTCCCACCAATCGTTCTTTATCCCTCTGAGTCTGCGCTGTCGAGCACTACATGCACATCGAAAGTTAGCCCTCAACTCAGGACAGGTCGGTTGTGCTAGGTGGGCTTGATGAGCTGCCCTCTTATTTGCTAGTAAGTCCTGGATCTCCGTTTCATTTTCATCAAACCAGTACTGGTTCTTCTTCTTTGAGTGCCAAAGAACTTCTTCAGATTTTTTCAGGATGGTCGATTTCAGGTTCTCCCATAGGTTGTCAGGGGTGAGGTCAACAGCTTGGGGGAGTTCGTCAAGTTTCAGCAGCAGGTGTGCCTGGAACTTGGCTTTCACCTCCTCACGGCTCAGACTGCTGACGTTAAGTTTCTTCACAGGGATACCTATCTTCCTTGGTTTGGGTTTGAACTACAGTTTGAGCTTGCAGCGTACCAAACGGTGGTCAGTGTGGCACTCAGCACGGAGCATCACTCTAGTGTGTAGAACTNTTTTTTTTTTTCTATCAAGCTGCACCCATTCCTGAATCTATTTTTTCTTCTATCATTAAATTTTTCACGGAGACTTTCACATTCAACCCTATTCGAAAACCTTTCTACACTTTCTTTGTGCAATGGTGGGGATAAATATAGAATTTTTCAAGCCCGGAGAGAAACATGACATAAGATAGAATTTGAATTAACAAAATAAATAATTAAGGAGAGGAAAGTACGTGACAATTGTAGATTGTTCAATAAAGCACTCCATATCATCTCCATATACGTAGTGACTCCAATAGCGCTAGGCAGCTGAGACTTGAAAATAGTGAATAAAAATAAAAAAACAAGCAAGCAAACCGGAAAAGTAGCCTACACGCTGTTAGAAAAATTGCACTGTCACGGAAAGAAAGACACAAGGCTAATTATTACTACAGGTTCCGTTTGTCTATTTGTCTGTCTATCTGTCTATTTTCTGTCTATTTCTTGTTGTTTTCCGTTGAAGATAATGGATCATTTATCAATCAGTCACCTGAAATGGGAATGCATATGGTTAAATTACCAACTTGTTTTTCTTAGAATTAAACTTTTAAAACTCTTCGTTGCTTCAATAGCCAGCCATAGCCACTGTCACGCTCCGACCTTAAACTCGCTCTACTTGTCTGGAAGGCAGTTCTCTTTGACAAGAATATTCGATTTGACCGAAAACGTGTTGCTATTTCGGTTTTTGTTAAAGTGCACATGACTCGAAATTTTACCCTTACATTCAAAAATATATGTTAAGAGAAGTACTTCAGCGAAAAAACGTAAGTCACAACGTTTCAAGAACACATTTTAAAATGCGATTAAAGTTGGCATTTTTTCTGCAAAATATGGGACAAGAGCCTGGGAACGAATCATAGAGCTGTCACGTCATCGGTTGTGTTGGAAATGTTGTTCCCAGTGACCAAGCCGTTGTTTTGAGTTATTCTACTTGTCGTTTACGAGCTAAATATGTCGGAAACCGATCACAGCGATCAAGGGTTCTCTTGTACATCACCTGAGGATGATGTAGAATCGTTCTCAAGTTCTGAAGAAGTCAGTCCAGGTATCAAGGGCGAGATAGTCGCTTACCAAGACGAACATTGGCGAACTCCGATGAGAGTGACAGCAACGGACAAGAAGAGGAATGACGAGGATGAAGATGGCTTATCTTCTGCCACTTAATCGCGAAGATTTGAGAAAACGGAACCCACCAGTACGTGATAAGGGTGTCTTACCTTGTTCTAATGTACCCCGTTTGTATACGCTAAAGCTAAAACGAAACATGATGGTGAAATTACAACCAA